GACTCGGGCGACAACCCGAACCGCGGCGGCAGGGAGCGCAAATACACCAACTGCGTCGTGACGCGGTGGTACCGGCCGCCGGAGCTGCTGCTTGGTGCGCGGCAGTATGGCGGGGAGGTGGACATGTGGGGCATCGGGTGTGTGTTGGGCGAGATGTTCATGCGGCGGCCCATCCTGCCGGGGACGTCCGACTTGGACCAGCTCGAGAAGATCTGGCTGCTGTGCGGGGCACCGAACCAGCACAGCTGGCCGAACTTTGATTCGCTACCTGGGTGCGAAGGCGTCAGGCGGTTCAATAACCACCCGCGGAAGCTCAGGGCGAGCTACGAGCAGTGCGTATTCTCGATTCCTCGGTTGAGCGCGCATTTGTTCATATATGCGTTGCAGCATCGGGAAGGAGACGTGCGATCTTTTGGACCGGTTGCTCATCTGCAACCCCCGGGAGCGCATCACCGCGGCGCAGGCACTCGACCACGACTATTTCTGGACCGACCCGATGCCTGCCGACCCTAAAACGTGAGTGAATTCAGTTAAGCCTTGTCTGACGGCACTTGCGCTGACGCGCCATTCCTCAAGCCTTCCGCAGTACGAAGCCTCGCACGAGTTCGACAAGCGGGGCAGGCACCAGCAGCACCACCAGCAGCAGCAGCAGCAGTCGCAGCAACAGCACGCGCCGCCGCCGCCGTACATGGACTCGCACCGGCAGTATCGCCCTCCACCGCCGAGCAGCATCCCGCAGCAGCAGCCGCCCCCGGACTGGAACCCGCCACGCTCAAACTTCAACAGGTATGGGCCCGGGCCAGGTCCAGGTCCGATGCCACAGCCTCCCTTGCACTCGCACCAGCACCAGCACCAGACCCAGAACCCAAACAACTGGCCGCCGCGGTACGGCGGCCTCCCGCCCAATCCGAACAACTGGCAGGCGCGGTCGTCGGCGTCGGAGACGAACAACTGGCAGAGGCGGGAGCGGGAGCGGGACGGGTACGATTCGCACCGGGGCGGGGGCGGGGGCGATTCGCACCGGGGCGGGGGTGGGGGCGGAGGAAGGGGAGGGGGAGGTGGTGGGGGGCGCCCGGCGAACCTGAACCTGAACCTCCCGCCTGGGCTGCCGGCGCGGCCGCTCGCGCCGCAGGGGCAGCTCGCGCCGATGGGGGAGATGCGTCCAAGGCCGGCGGCGGAGGCGCTTAATTACGGCTGACCGCTCAATTGCGGATGGAGAGGAGAGGAGGGGATACGTAGAGAGAGAGAGAGAGTAAGGGAGTGAGCGGGTGCGGAGCGCCGTCCGTATTCCGATGCATGCATAGGCGCAGAGAGGGCACGGCAGGTTGGTTGGTTCGATGCATCGTAAAGTACATACTTAGTGGAACGAGTACAGTAATTGTCTATACAATGAACATGAGCAGGTGTGGTGTTGCATCCTGCGCGTCCACGAGTCCAGTCCTTCCTTCCTTCCTTCCAGTCTGAGTTGAGTTACTTCTGGAGTATAACTTAGGACACGAATCCTGAGGCCTGAGATCGTGAGGTTTCTTTGCATCGTGAATATGGTACATATGTATAATTGTAGCTGTGGGGGTGCAAAAAATATGTCATGTCTATGTAAGTATGTGTTCGAATATTCAGTTCAGTCAGTCAAGAGGCTCAAAAATGCAAGAGAAGAATAGAATAAAAATGCAAGAGAAAAAGAAATCAAAAATGTAAGCGCCGAGCCCAAAGCGCGCTACCAATTCCACTCCTCCTCCTCCTCGTTATCCTTATCCTGCCCCTGCCCTGCCCGTCGTAGGCGGCTTCGGCGGCGTCTTACTTTTGGCGAGGGACAAGGGCGATTGCGGCTGCTGCTGCGTTTGGCGGGTGCGCAGCGACAGCGGGGGTTTGCGTGTCGTCGTGGGCGCGGGTGCGGGTGCGGGGAAAGAGCGGGGGTGGGCTTGAAGGTGGGGGAAAGAGTGGGGTAAGAGCGGGGGTGAGCCCGGCGCGCCCCCGTCGTCGTCGTCGAGGAGCGACGTCGAGGGCGTCCGCGTCGAGTGCGAGGAAGGGAAGGGTGCGAGGAAGGGGAAGGGTGCGAGGAAAGGGAAGGGTGCGAGGAAGGGGAAGGCGAATGTGAAGAAGGGGAGGACGGGGCCGGCCCGACCTGCAGCGCATACGCAATGTCGGAGAAGAGGAGCGAGGCGCGTTTTGTGTTTTTTGCGATTCTGGGGGCGACGTACGTTAGTTTAGAGTTCTTCCACCGAATGATGACAAGAGGAAGAGAAAAGGGCAGAGAATAGTGAGGGAAGATGATGGAAGAGAAATAATAGAAGATGAAAGGGAAGAGATAATAACAATGAGGGAGACAAGACGCACGTCGACACCCTCTGCAGCTCCTCCCACCGCGTCGACATGTTCTTCCCCACGCTGCCCACCCACGCCGACACGCCCGCGCTGTCCACCAGTCCCAACCCCGGTACCCCCCTGCGCCGGTGATTGTGGTGCTGGTGCTGGTACTGGTGCTGGGGGAGCGCGCTTGGGAGCGGGGCGCGCGGTTGGTGGTGGCGGCGTCGGCGTCGGGTCATCGGTGTCGGCGTCGCGGTCATCGGTGACTTAGAGGTAGAGGTAGATGCGGAGGCAGACGCAGAGGGAAATGGGGAGGCAGCCACCTGCGCCTGCGCGAAGAAAAAGTCCTCCTCCGCCTCCGCGCTCGAGTCCCCCGCGCCCGTCTCCGTCTCCGTCCCGTCTCCGTCTGTTGGCGGGCACGGTCGCGGCGCGCGGCGAACGCGGGGTTGGGGCTCATGGTTGGTGTGGCGCCTGTGTCGTCTACCATTAGGACTTGGCGTGGCGTCGTCCTCTTCCTCCCTGGCCCGCTCGTGTCCGCGTCGGTGTCGGTGTTCAAACACGAGAGACGACGAGTCTGGCTCCCCGAGGGAGGACTGCGAGGACTGCGAGAGGGAGAGGCGCGTTGATTTGCTCGTGCTCGTTGCCATGCTGGAGGTTTTGGAGTGCGTCCCGTTTGCGTTTGCTCGGACGGCGCTCTCGAGGGACGCGTGGTACGAGGAGGCGGTGGTGGGGGAGAGCGCTGCGATGAACGCCGACGCCCTGCACGCCTCGCGGATGCCGTCGAGGACCGCGCCGCCGCTGTCGAGGCTGGGGGGCACCGGGGACGTGGAGGCGGCGTTGTGCGGGGAGGTGAAGCCGCGCGAGACGATGCGCTCCCATTTGCGTTTACTGCGGTACATAAGTTATCAGAATGAGCGGAGAGGAGGAGAGGGAATGAATACGATGCATACGTTGGAGCAGCTCGGCTTCGTGCATGGCGAGTTGGGAGCGCAGCTCGAGGCATTTGGACTCTTTCTGCGCGATGAAGTGCAGTAGGTCTGCGTGTCTGGAGAATGTCGTTAGCATTCAGCACGTCAATATGCGACAAGGGGTATCTCAGAGGACTCGCAGAACCCTCGCGGAAGCAGCTCACGAACTTTTCTGCAAGAGTAACCGGCGAGCGGTCGGGCACGCTCTTCTGCAGGTCCAATGCTCCTCCGACAGAATTACTGCGCTGGAGAGAACTGCGGTGGCCTGCTGTGCGTGCAGGGCGCGTTGCAGGGTTGTATATTATAGACGACGGCCGTCGAGGGCCGCCATTTGGGGTCGTCGGCGTCGACGGGCTCAGGGGACTCGGGGAGAACGCGGACAGCGGCGCCGCGGGCAGGCCGTCGAGGACAGGCCCGTTTGCGAGCTGCAGCGGGCGCGGCCCTGCAGGCATCGAATGGCGTTTTGAGGACATGGTGGTTCAAAGCAAGCTGATGATTACACAAAATATAAAATATTCCAATGCAATGTTCTAATGCTTTGCGCTCGCCCAGCGGGCGCGGCCCTACAGGCATTGGAGGGACATGGTGGTTCAAAGGAAGCAAAGTCACACAAAATGTAAAATATTCCAAGTTCTAATGCTGCTTCGCCGCCCCCCGCGCCCTCCTTCTCCGCGTCCGCGATGAATTTCCTGATGCTGTCCATCCTACCGTCAGTCGTCGTCAGAGCCCTGCAAGGCACAGAACGGGAACGTACAACTGCTCTTCCTCGCTGCACACACACATCAGCGCTCGTTCTCTCGTTCTCCTAGCCAGCAGGAAAGGAGAAAGAAACGCAAACGCACCTGGAGCCGGCGTTGAGCGGCACCGCCTGCTTCGCCGCCTCGACCGTCTTCGGCGCGGGCGCCTTGCCGGTGGTGCTCTTGTACGCGACGTAGCCCGCGATGCTCCCCAGGACGCTCATCGACAGGTATTCTTTTGGGATCGCGCGGCCGAGGATCGTGCTGTGTTCATCTTGTCAGGGAATGTGGATACGGAGAGCGGGACGTACTAGGTCATGGTGGTGAAGGACGCTCTACTTATATTTCGACGCCGTTACTGGCTAACACGCGCATACATGTTCTCTTTGCTTCTGTACACATTTCATCCCAACAAGGGCGAAGCAGCAACAATTGATTACTGCAGGCGACGGTGCAGCGAATGTGAACGCAACAGGCCTCAGCGGCTTCCAGTATCTCTTGACAACCGCTTCATCGATTCTAACTCGTTCCTCGTTCGATGAGCGGTGCCATCGTCTTTGAATTGCATTCTCGTGCCGACGGGGTGGGGTATTCCGTTCTTACTTCATGTCCAAGCAGGCGTCCGGAATTCCAATATGCTTCTGTCTTGTTAACGCACAACCCCAGGCCCAGTGCTATATTCACACGATTGGACCGCGCCGGAATACACCTACCTACCAACCCACCCGGCATCGACACCTTGAAGACCTGATGATACCGCCACAAATGCACCATCGCACCATTGGTGTAGAGGCAACACACGTCCACAATTTATGAAAGACAACCTTAACATGTGGGACGGTTTCGGGGTTCGAGTCCCTGATCGTGTATGAAACCGGATACTGCATGTTTTTCTTTGGCGTTTTTGAATTCTTTTCGGCCTCGAAGTAGGTTGGTGCTGCTCTTTATACTGTCAGTCTCACCCGCGTCGCCGCAGGATCCCCGTATTGTGCCATTGGTGTAGTGGAAACACGCGCCCAGCTTCTGAGCCAATAAACGAATTCTCATCTGGGGCGACTCCGGGGTTCGAATCCCTGATGGCGCATGTCGCTGCTGTCGACTGCTTTTCATTTCGGAATTTAAAGTTCCCATGTACAAGTGGGTACCGGTGAGCTCGAGATCGCATATATCCCGCGGCAGCGTCTTTTTTGGCCTCTAAGCAGGTACTACAGTATTGTGGCCATGGGTGTACTGATACGACAACGCAGCATCGTGTCATCGTGCCATTGGTGTAAAGGTAACACGCGTCCAGCTTGTCTTTGTGATCAATTGTAAGTTGGACGATTCTGGGGTTCGAGTCCCTGATGGTGCAATGCCAACTCATGCACTTTTTCATTCTGGAATTCAAAGTCCACAAATTGGTACCGGTGAGCTCGAGCTTGCATATATTTCGCAACTTTTGGCCTCTAAATAGGTTGGCTCTTTATATTCCGTCAGTCTCACCCGCGTCACCGTCCAATCCACCTGCTGCGCTATTGGTGTAGTGGTAACACGCGTCCAGCTTTTCCACTAAGAGTGCTTCTGGGACGACTATGGGGTTCGAATCCCCGATAGCGCATTCCCTTTAGAATTGGTTGTTTTTTGGAATTTCGGAGTCCATAAATTGGGGCCTACATATATATATTTTGCAACCGGCGGGGCATTGGCTAATTTTTTCAGCCTCTAACTTCAAGTAAGTCGTGCTGCAGTATGGGCATACTGACACCGCGTCAACGCAACATTTTGTCATCGCGCCATTGGTGTAGCGGTAACACACGTCTGATTTATTCGCAACACTGAAAAACTTGAGGACGGATCCGGGGTTCGACTCCCCGATGGTGCATAGGGCTTTCCAATAGAGTCTTTTTTTATTTCAGAATTTACCACAAATTGGCGAGATCACATAATAACTTATATTTCGAAGCAGGGCGCGTTCTTTTTGGTCTCTAAACAGGTACAGTATTGCAATTGATACGGCGTCAACACAGTACCCTGACATCGTGCCGTTGTGTCGGGGTAGCACACGTCTACAAATTTATGGTACAATATATTTGGGACGACTCTGGGGTTCGACTCCCCGGTGGCGCAATGACAGGCGAGAACTGTTTTGGTTCTTTTTTTGGTTTCAAAGTCTGGGGAATTCGAAGATTATTCACAAATTGGTACCGGTGAGATCACCATATATTTCGCAACGTCTTGTTTTCTTTTTTGATCTCCGCTCTATCGCTATTCTGTACTTAGCAGCAGTATGAAAGAGATCAACAGCTTTCCTGTGGTGTCATTAGTGTAGAGCTAACGCCATCAGACTTTTGACAAATAGCTTGTGAGCTTGTACAAGCCCAAAAAAGGCCACAAGCTACTGCGAAAACGCGAAAAGGTCACAAGCCCGCAAGTCAAGTCTGAAAAACGACAAGGTCGAGTGTTCGACTCTCGGAGGTCGCATAATTTTAATGTTTATCTCATCAGCTCGGCTGATCCCGGGGAGCTTTTGCTCCAAGAGGAGTCAAGTGGTCTTTTGTTACTATCTAGCATATTTTTCAAGCAGGGTTCTACACTTTTCGAAGGATGATTTTAGGCATTTTGATCTTGTGAGCTTGTCGGCAAGCTCACAAGGCCAAACAAGCCACAAGTTATTTGTCAAAACGCTGATGGCGCATCTAGTCCGTAATTAGAATGCTATTATTCGGAGATGAGTCCGGGGTTCGAGTCCCTGATGGCACATTGGTGGAACGGCTGATTTTTTTGGGGTGGTGTCACGATTTTGGCCTAAATCGCGTCATCTTATCTTAGCGCCCAAGATCATTAAGCGCTCACAAGATTAGATAGGAGATAAGACAAGGGATAAGATCGTCTAGATTAGGGTTAGATTATTGATAGCCATGGAAGGTTCTAGAAGGAACATGGTAAACACATGGCGGACTGATGATGTCATACCTCATGGACAACACATACTTTACACACGTCTTTAATATTCTCACGGTTCATAGTACAGTATTTAAGCAGTAGCTAGTTGCCTGTATTCTTTAGCCTTTTATTCCATCATCTTTCGAGACTACTACGCACCACCCAATCCCCTATCCTCTGTCTGATAGTGAGACGCGAGTCTTGACTGTGACATAATAAAAGGCTTCCTCTCATACCCTCGTACCGCCCCTTTCGACCTCCTTTCCCCTTCCTCCCTTCCTCTATCCACTACTTGGATTCATACCTCCTCCTCCGCTCTTACCATTTGAAGATCCATTTTCGCTTTACCCCAACATCTCCCTCGTCCACACCGAGGTTAAACAATTGCAGCGACAGTTGTCGTCGGACCAGATCGATCTGACTGCACCGCGCTACGGGAAACGTTGAGTCCGTCCCTGCGCAACGGTAGCAACAAGGCGTTTGAGTTAATCCTCGGAGAGGCTCATCGCGCGTACGTCGGGTGTGTCGTAGAAGACCCGGGTACGTTCAGACAGCAACAGTCCGGGGCAATCCCACCTCCCGCTTAGTGCGGTTCCACCATCCGGCACGGCTTTCAGTGCCAACCTCTCGCCCGACTCCTCAGAGTCAAGCCGCTCTCCGTCCCCCGCTCCCCACACACCTTTCCGCGCACCCTTTGCGCCTATTTCACATCCCTCTCTCCGTTACCCACCCCGACACTATCTCTGCGTAGTCGCCCCCCGTCCCATCACTCTTACCCACTTCGACACTTCCTCCGAGGCAGACCAAGGCCTCTCTTACTCGTCCGAATACCCCCAAACCTTTTACTCCGCCTCCCCACACACTCGTACCCCATCACCCCCGCCACCAATCGAAATGTCTCTTGATCGAGAAGCCGAGATGTCCGGACCTGCTCCTCGCGCACCATCGCCCACCACAGACAGGGCTCGTGACATGGCCGAGATGATCACCGAGATGGCGGGCCGTCTCATACAGCAGAGGGGCAGTAGCAGCTCCTCCAAAATCACCCTTGCCAAGACCCCGCCTATGTTCGACGGCGAGGACAAGTCCAAATGGGACACTTGGTGTGACGCCCTGACCGACTACATCTGGGCGTATGTGTCGGAGTTCGAATCCGACAGGAAGAAGATTTTCTATACGCTTTCCCTTCTCGGGAAAGCGGACGGTTCCCTTTGCCCCGCCGCGGTGTGGAAGCGGAACTGGAAGCAGAAGTATCTGGGAGAAGATGGTTATCTCTCAGACCTTCTTTCGTTCGAGACGTTCATGGAAAGACTCGGGGATTCTTTCAAGGATCAGAACGTCTCACGATCAGCGCATTTGCGCCTCACGACCACCCGGCAGGGAAAGACCGGGATGGCCGAGTTCATCCAGGCGTTCGAGTTGAACGCCGTACAGGCCGGATACACCCCCGGCGACAAGAACAGCGACGCCATGCTGGTGGAGACGCTGGAGGGTCTCATCAACGACGAGATCCAGGGCCAGCTTTACGCTGGCGGAAACGACATTCCTCAGAAGTACGAGGAATTGAAGAGGCGGTTGCTTAACATCAACCGTAACCTGGAGCATCAGAGGCTCCGCAAGGTCCAGACGTCCCTACGACGAGGGACTCCCTGGTGGATGCCGGCATCGCCGCCGGCAGGCAACAAGGTTGTGGGCGGGGCCCCCAACCTGTCCCAGAGGGTGACGCCCGGGAACCCGGCGCCCATGGACGTTGATCGGTCGAAGACTAAGCCGATCAAGTGTTACAACTGTGGCAAGGACGGCCACATGAAGCGGGAGTGCCCAGAGCCTCCCAAGAAGAAGTTTAATATTCGGTCGATCCAGACCGACTTGTACTCGCAGGAAGACCTGCAGGCCCTGGCGGCCATCCTTCGCGAGAAGGGTTTTTGAAAGGGCCCCCGGTCACGGCCAAGCCGGCACGCCCTCTGAACAATACGAACACTGCGCAATATGACATTTTACGTACAGAGTCTGATACAGTAATTTATGGAAAAGAAATAGATACGACAAAAAAATGTATTCCCTTTTGTAACTTAAAGCATGTCGACGAATACGAGTATGGTAGATTAAAAAGCGCATTACGTAAAAAGGCCCCTGGAGCTCCCACCAGTGATAAAAAGGTTGAGGCGAAAAAGGTCGGCTTTGCCGGGATGGCTCAATCCTCATCCGAGGAGGAAGCGCCAAAGGAGGGTAGTACGGAGGAAGCCCCTACTCCGGAAAAACCTCAAACCGATCCTCGAGATTCTCTTGGGTCAAGGTCGGCGAGGTCATCAGTACCAAGCCATGGAAGCAACGCTTCCACTGGGACAAATGCCTGCAGGACTCAAGGCGAGGGAAACGGCCAGGTGGCTAGCACGCCGAGCCATGGGAATGAATCCCGAACGGTTGGCGCAGGAAATGCGTGCCTTCCAACTTCAACGTGTGCGTCGCGAGATGCACGTTCCCACCATGCTGCAGGACGCAGCCACCGGCAGGACCCGTAAAATTAGAGCGTTGCTGGACACTGGGTGTACTTCAACGTGCATCGATCGGGACTTCGCGCAGGCATCAGGCTTCGAATTAAAGAAGCTGCCAGAACCGATCGAAGCCAAGAACGCCGATGGCACGGAGAACGCCAAAGGCAGGATTACCCACTACGTTGACGTAGTAAAGACCATTGGAGACCACTCGGAGCGTGTTCAGCTCCTCGCCACGGGACTCGGGAAGGCCCGCATGTTTATTGGTTACGACTGGATATTTAAGCACAATCCGGTTATTGACTGGCGGGCCCAAACGATTAAATTCGAAAGATGTCCCCCGGAGTGTGGCATGAAGGGAGGCGAGACCGCCCGTGGTGTGGAGAAAGAAGACCCTATAGAGGAGGGTGAGAGTATTCTATTGGTGGACTTCGCACCTGCAATCGAGTTGCGTGCGAAGAGTACCCAGGCGCAGCACTTCGCGGAACAGGCTGACGCCGACCGCGAAAAGATGACGGCAGACAAGATCCCGGAGCATTATAGGGATTATGTCAAAGTCTTTGCGAAGGAGTCTTTCGACTCCTTACCGGAAAAACGACCGTGGGACCACGCGATCGAGTTGAAACCGGACGCAAAAGCCGTTGACTGCAAAATATACCCCCTTTCGCTGGACGAGCAAAAGAAGCTTGATGAGTTCCTAGATGAGAACTTGAAGAGTGGGCGCATCAGGCCATCAAAGTCACCGATGGCCTCGGCATTCTTCTTTGTCAAGAAGAAGGACGGATCGCTTAGGCCGGTCCAGGACTACCGTAAATTAAACGAGATGACAATCAAGAATCGTTACCCTATTCCTTTAATCTCGGAGCTGGTTAATAAACTCCGAGGCGCCAAGTACTTCACGAAGCTGGACATTCGTTGGGGTTATAATAATGTCCGGATCAAAGAAGGCGATGAGTGGAAGGCCGCGTTCCGAACTAACCGAGGGCTGTTCGAGCCCCTCGTAATGTTCTTCGGCCTTACCAATTCCCCGGCCACGTTCCAAACAATGATGAACGACATCCTCAGGGATCTCATCAACGAAGGACGGGTCATCGTCTATCTGGATGATATTCTTATTTTCACGGAGACTCTTGAGGAGCACCGCGCGATTGCCAAACGAGTGTTAGACACGCTCGAGAAGCACAAGCTTTATTTAAAGCCCGAGAAGTGTGACTTCGAGAAAACGGAGATTGAGTATCTCGGAGTCATCATCTCCCACAACTCCATGCGGATGGACCCGGTGAAAATCAAAGGGATCATGGAGTGGCCGGTTCCGAAGAATGTCAAGCACGTGCAGGCGTTCCTAGGATTTGTCAATTTTTATAGGCGCTTCGTCCAAGGATTTGGCGAAGTCGCTAAGCCGTTAACGTTATTGACCGGCAAGGCCGGGTTCTCCTGGGGAGAA